TTTGAAAATTGAATTAATTTCCCCATGGGTTCAAACTACTATCACATCATCTGATATCATCCAAGTGAAACAAATGCATTCATTAATCATGTTATAACTTTTTTTTGGATTCTTTGATATTCGTCACTATGTCCGTTCAGAGAATTATATACTCCTAATCTGCAAAAATTACGTTTTTGTCTGAAAAAGGAATTGTAACATAACAAAACGCACGTCTAGTTATAAGAACCTCCATTAAAAAAACAAAAAACAGAAAAAGATGAATAATTTACATACAGATCCTCTTGCACAATATTTTCTGATATTGCATTGAAAGATCTACCTTTCAAAAACAAGTCAACAATAAGAGCAGATGTGTGTTTGGTTACTATGTTTGTATGCTCATTTATAATTCATTATACTGTTCTAGAATTAAAATGTATAATTAGTAATCATGGTTACAAAAATCTAGACTTTAACTTACCTCCCCAACATACTCTGTAGAGCTGTCTGACGTACATACCGGAGATGTGCAGATTCTAGGAATGGAAATAAAGGCAAAATGTTTAACAGTAGATAGGCACCAATCAGAAAACCCCAGCAAATCTCACGTATTACTTTGAGAATAGCTCTCCACTCCAATATATAGCTCCTAAATAGGTTCACAAAAAGTCTTGTTTGTATTGAAAATAATTGTATTGCAGTACCTCCCCTGAAGGAGCCCCTTGGGTTTTGGGCCTTTTTTCCCTTCACAGAACCCACAGCCAAGAAAAACGGTATTTGCACACTATATAGGTAAAAATGTGAGCACCCTAAAATATATATAAAAAGCCGCTATGCACAAAGGTAACCAATAACACCTTATATAATAGACTCTAAAAAGGGGGTGCAGCGCTAAGAAGTTAAATATAAATATATCTGTAAATGTGTGTCTAATATAAATTCATAAAAAGTTCATAAAATAGAAGTGGACCAGTTCAAATAGTAAGACAGTTCAAAAAGGTGACTCTTGTGCTCTGGTTATTCTGGAACCGGTGTCTGTGCAGTAATAGTGTAAGTAATGCGCACTCACAGGACGCGCATGTAAAATGCGCCTTATATCAATATTTCAGGTGTCATCAAGGGGAGTCAGGAACTGTGTAGTCTTCCCTCTAAGGCATGGTAGGTCATCAGACAGGATTCTTAGGGTTTTACAGGTGATCCACGTCCACCAGATTTCCCCTTAAGGGGTTAAACCGGTATTGCTCCCTGGGTGGGAGATTTCCTCTCTGGATATAAGGGTTTGTCATGAGGCAATATATTTGAAAATTGAAGGCTCCCCCAGGGGGTTAGAACAAGGATACGCCCATAGTGTAGTAGATAGATGAAAAATAGTTTACTGTGACAAGTAAGATTAAAAACCGATGCATCAAGTAATAGGTAGAAATTCAGTGAGCAAACAGGACTGACCGTCCGATTTCAAAGATGGCTGCCGGAGCTCCAAGTTTCTCCGGCGGCGTGACGTCACGGCGTGATGTGGCTCCTCCTGACGCATATCGTGCACATGCACGTCTTTAGAGGGGGGTCGCCAATCACACCGCGTCGTCCGCCGTTCACTTAAATAGTAGCTGGCACATGCGCATTACACAGTCGCCATTTTGAAGAAGATCAGCATTAAGTGCGTACACGCGCACATTGAGAACCAAGGAAAAATGGCGCCCGCACTCTCGCACGTGCTGTTTATTAAAAAAAAGACAGCAGTCACAAAAATTGTAGTTGCTGGCTTTTAATAAATACACACTTACCTGACCCGGGGTCCAACAATGTACTCACCCGCGCAGTCCCTTTTCTCCTGTACTCGACGGCGCACAGCTTGTGGCTTCACAGCCTGGTGCCCACTGCGCATGCCGCACCTCCTGATTGGTACGGCAGTCTCCTGGGACCTGTGAAAGTTCCCAGGAGACTGCGGGAGGGGGCCGAACTTCCAGCTCACTTTCCCGCAGCGAACTGAGCCAGAAGTGGGAGCGGGTACCTGTTAAAACCAGGTACCCACTTCCCCCTTCCCAAGGTGCCTCCCAAGGTGCCAAATATGGCAGTGGAGGGGGGGAGGAGGCAAATAAGCAGAGCTTCCACTTTTGAGTGGAACTCTGCTTTAACCTCTTACATACCAGGCACTTTTACCCCCTTCCTGCCCAGGTCATTTTTCAGGTTTCAGCACTCTCACACTTTGAATGACAATTGCGCGGTCATACAACATTGTACCCAAACTAAAATTTTATAATTTTCTTCACACAACTAGTGCTTTCTTTTGGTGGCATTTAATTACCACTGGAGTTTTTATTTTTTGCTAAATTAACAAAAAAAGACTGAAAATTTTGAAAACAAAACACGTTTTTCTTTGTTTTTGTTATAAAAGTTTGCAAATAAATAATTGTTCTTCAAAAATTTAGGCCAAGATGTATTCTACTACATGTCTTTCGTGAAAGTAACCCAAATTAGGATGTATTTTTTAGTTTGTAGGAAAGTTATAGAGTTCACAAACTATGGTATAGATCTGAATATTGATCAATCCTGAAGTACTGACAGCCAATCTAATTTCTTGAGGTCCAAGAATGTCAGAACAGTACAGATATCCCCCAAATGACCCCTTTTTGCAAAGTAGACAGTCCGACGTACTTCATAAGAGGCATGGCGAGTTTTTTGAAGTATTTTTTTGGTCATAATTTTTCAGAAAATGAAAAAATGAAAAAAATTATTTTCACAATTTTTACATACTGTCACCAGTGCAGTACAGCGTCATCATATAACTGGCATGGCGGTGATCAGGGACACTGACTAGTGACAGTATGAAAAAAAATATATATTTTTTTTATTTTGTTTATTATTTTTAATTTTTTTATTAAATTGTTTTTCTTTTTTTTTTAAGATTTTTTTTTCATATTTCACTATGACCAAAGTAGTACAATGTTACCATAGTAACATTTGTACTACTTTGGGCAAGTGATCAGTATTTTTTTTTTTTTTTACTTTACACAATTTGCCTATTGCAAAGAATTACTTTACCTGTCATTTACCTGAATGACATCGATTCATTCAGGGTGTGTTTGTTTTTTTTTTTTTTTGTAGCTGTGATTTGGCCACGGCTAATCACATGACACAGCTGAGCTGTGATTGGCTCAGCTCGTGCATGTGATCGCTGTGACCATTCACAGCTAGACACACTGGTATACAATGGATGGCATGAATGAAGCCATCCATTGTATATAACTGTCATGTGACCTGCTGTGATTGGTCACAGCAGGTCACATGGTACCAGCAACGGGGCCGGTACTCAGATCTGGAATCTGCCGTGTCCGAGGTACACGGCCCGTGACAGATTGCGCCGCTGCGTGGCTCTGCAAGCGCACAAACTGGAACGCTGAGGGATTTTGCCGGCCGCCAAACGGCCATTGGCCGGGCGGCCAGAGGTTAATGCAGATAAGGCACAGAGTTTAATTACCACCTTAATTAGTCACAGAACCTGTGTAACTAATATGTGTTCTGTTTTAAAGGGATGAGGTGGCAACCCTAATTGCACAGCTGTGGGAGTAGTAGTACAAAGCAAAAAAGGTATAACATTTCCAAAGGAGTTGTATTAGAGTGGAGCTCCACCCAAAAGGGGAAGTTCCGCTTTAAGCCTTTGTCCCCCGCTTCCCATTAAGGATTGGCACCTTTGGGGAGCGAATATTACAGATACCCGCTCTCTACTCCTCTCTGCCCTAGGGGCAGAGCCCCCAGCACAGGGGTCACCACCAGACAGCTGAACCCTGCATTCTGCTCCCAGACTGCCAGGCATAAGAATTATTATGGGTCACTTCCCCACCTTCTGGGCTAACCTCCCCAGGGAGTGGTGGAAATCACATGAATATTAAGGCTGCAGCCTCTGTCCCTCCGCTCACTATGTTCAAGAAACGTCAACTGAATTCCTGAATGCAGGGGGTGGTAACTGAGCCACAGCCTCTGAAGCACTGCACAGCCACCTGAACAACTGTCTTCCTACAGAATTTACCTAACAACTAAGGACAATCTAAATCAGGGTTTTTTAACCAAGGTTCCGCCTCTTGAGGTGGCATAGCAGGGTGGAGGGAAGACGAGACATATCTATAGGGAAGATGGTGGCTGGGCTGGCAGATACAGAGACAGTGGGAAGTGTGTGTTCTAGTAGATAATATACCTAATAATGGCGGCAATGCAATGTCAAGCTGCAGTGTCAAAACCAAACAAAATACTATTCTGTATTAAGAGAAGTAAAAACTCCAGAGAGAGAGATATCATATTACCCCGGTACAAATCATTAGTAACACTCATCTGGAATATGCAGTTCAGTTTTGGGCACCATTTCACAAAAATAAATATCGGGCAACTGGAAAAAGTGCAGAGAAGGGCAACCAAACTGATAAGAGGCATGGAGGAGCTCAGCTATGAGGAAAGATTAGAGAAACTGAATGTATTCTCTCTTGAGAAGAGAAAATTAAGGTGGGATATAACCACCATGTATTAATACATAAGTGGTCCGCATAGTGAACTTGGTGTATAGATATTCACTTTCAGGTCATTACAGAGGACAAGGGGGCACTCTTTATGTCTGGGGGAAAAGAAATGTAACCTTCATATACAGAAAGGCTTATTCACAGTAAGAGTCCCGCCCTACCCGGAAATTCAAAATCATGTATATATACACGTGATTTTGTGCACCCCTGCTGCCCTGTAGCAATATATCTGCTATAGGACGGTGGGAAAGCAGATAAAGTGTATTTTATTCAAGAAAATTGCATTTGAAAAACATGACATAAAAAATTGCAACGACCACCATTTTATTCTCTAGGGCCTCTACTTAAAAAGTATATAATGTTTGGGTGTTCTAAGTAATTTTCCAGCATAAAAAAACAAAAACTGCTGATTTTTACATGTAGGAGGGAAGTGTCAGAATTGGCCAGATAGAAAGTGGTTAATTGTGCCCTTCTCCTGGCAGCCTTTGTGAAGCAGTAAAAAGACAATTCCACTTACCTCTCCAGGGAGGGCACTTTGTATATTCTCGGTGAGCACATACTGGGGATGTTGGTTGGAGTTCGGGATACATCCGTGTCTGGCCAAGGGGTGCACTGAAAAGATATTTCTAGTAAGTAGAGGACGACTAAACTCTTCAAACATATGGGATTATTAGATATTGGCAATCTGATTAAGTCACTTATAAAGAAAACCTAAATGTGTGGCATTTGATTCTAATTGTAGGGATCTTTGGTTATTAAATAAACTGATTTCTATACTAGTGGCTAACAGGCTAAACTTTACAAACTTTTAGAACGGTCAGAACAATGAAAGATGAGAGATGAAAATTTTTTTAATGGATATTTTTTATAGCAGAAAGCAAGTAAAACAAAATCTTTTTTTTTTCAAAATGTTTGGTCTTGTTTTGTTTATATAATAACTAATAAAAAACCCAGTGGTGATCAAATACTGCCAAAAGAAAGTTCTATTTGTGTAAACTTTACACTTATTGGGATTTTTATTTTTACCAAATTCATGTAGCAGAATATATTTTTGGCTTAAATGTATGAAGAAATCAGATTTTTTCCATTTTTTCACTGGATATGTTTTATAGCAGAAAGTAAAAAAAAATTTTTTTTTTTTTTTCAAAATATTCAGTCTTTTTTCATTTATATAAAAAATAAAAATATCCAGTGGTGATCAAATACCACAAAAAAAATTATACAACTTTCGTCTGGGTGCAATTTTGCAATTACGAGTTAAAGTAGTGCATTGCAATAACAAAAAAATGCCCTGGTCATAAAGGGGGTAAAACTTTTAAGAGGTCAAGTGATTAAAGATAAAAAAAAAAAATGTCAGTACCTCAGTCAGGACAGTATTTTCACATGCTGCCTGGTACTTCTCCCGCTCTAGGGCTGAGCGTTTCTCCACCTTCTCACGATCTGTTTTCTGCTTGCGATCTGCTCCTTTAGGCTACACATGGGGACAGACAATGGCCAAAAGGTAAATAGCATATACTGCAGTTTGTGAATAATTTTTACTAATGCAGCTCCTACTCAACATCTCTGCAGCTAAGGTTTTCCCAGTTTACCATGGCTGATGACATACTACAATGTTGAGATTCTAACTTTTACTCTTACCTACTCTGAAAACTAAAAAAAAAATCACCTAAATAAGATGCACATGACATAAACAAGATAACGGAGGGACAGAACTTATTGTGATCGTTGTCCACATCCATTACCTTGACCCAACTCTGAAGAATATATTAAAAAATATATATTTTTAAAAATATATTTTTTCTTTTAGACATATTCTTCAGTTTTTTTTTTTTAACATATAAAAAAAGTCATTTTAAAATATATTTTAGATATATTTGTAAATGCATTCCAAAATGTAGAGTTGTATTTTTTTAATGAATGTGACCAAAATTGTAGCATTTTAAATATATGTCAAGAAGAATATTTTTAAAATATAGTTCAAATATATTTTTCTTCCATATGGGAATAAACATCCTGATTATCACAAAAGAAGCTCAAGTCATAGCGGGCGTGACTTGCCATGCGATGCTATTTTCAAATTGCACCCTATTCTCCGGAATTAAATTGGTCATAACGTTGCGATTCTGACTTGGTCAGAGTTGTACCGATTTTGAAAGCAGAGCATGCACTACTTCAGGTGCGACCTGCATAGACATCTGTGTCTTTGCAAGCCGCAGATGTCTTGCAAGTTGCACCTTGAGTCCAGCCATCCAGCTTTGAAATCAAGCGACTTCACTGGAAGTCGATGCAATGTAACTGAGGACCAAATCTGGGAGCATAGCTCACTATTATTGAATTGTATAATGGACAGCTTTAAAAGCTCTCAGATGTCTTGGTTGACCTGAATATAAAGGAATGAAGATTTTTTAAAATGTTTGCTTGTCTGGAAATTTTAGTTAGTCTAATTCCTTGAAGGCCAGTACACATATTATTTCCCCTTTATAATATTTCTTTATATTCATTATTATTTATTTATTTATTTCAGGTACTTGTATAGCGCTGTCAATTTATGCAGCACTTTACATATATATTGTATATGCACATCAGTCCCTAACCCTCAAAGAGCGTACAATCTAAGGCCCCTAACTCACATTCATAGATACACATATATGAATGGGCTATTAAAGGAGAAGTGGGCCAAACCCCTTTTGCACTTGGTTCTGCACTCCTGTGACCCAGATTCAGCCAACTGCAGGCCAAAGTCCACTGTTGGCTGAAGTCACTTCAGCTGGTCCAGATTCTGGAGTTAATCAGATCCCGACTTTAATGTTGGGATCCACCCAGATGCCTGACCAATAGCTGGCACTGGCTCACTGCTCACTGAAGATCACTCAGTCTTTGATCACTCAGTTCTCAGTCTTAGAGGGGACTGGAAACAGATGAAGTATCACTCACCACTGTCAATGTCAAGGGTTGGCCAAACACTCTGTTGGCATATAGTCATTGGGAAAGAATTTGCCCCTTACAGTGGTGGTCAGAATACCACCCATACAGAAAGCTAAAAAGATCTTGATGGCATGCTGCTGATTATGCCAAGTGGCTATAGTCCTGAAAATTTGCAGGCACCATCAAATGAGAGGTCAATCAACTACAGTTCAAGGAACTCTTTGCAATCTCTGGAGGATTCCTGGTTGAGAATGGTTGCTTTAGCCAGTCAGAAAGGTTTGCGTCAAACACATGTAAGACAATTCCAGGTGCTCATTCGAAGAGCGGGTAGTTATAGTTTTTATTTTTTGTACATTCTGGTTACTAACTATCCCTTTTTGTGGAAAAAGACCAACAATTTCTCCCAATAATCCTGTTGCTTTAGGTATTGGCCATCAAGTACCTTAGAAAAATACCGCCCTGCATAGACGTACCTTGAACACTTTGATTTGACAACTACATGAGTGAAGATGTTCTGTAAAGCTTCCATGAGAGTCTGACTTGTATGTGTCCACCTGAATCCGAAATGGGGCACCCTTTTCTCCTCCGTTCTTTCTCTGAGTAAATTCTGTACTGATACAATGTACCTGAAAAAGAAGGACACAAGGCTTTGTCTCACACATTACGTTCCTGAAAAAGAAGGACACAAGGCTTTGTCTCACACATTACGTTCCTGAAAAAGAAGGACACAAGGCTTTGTCTCGCACATTATGTTCCTGAAAAAGAACGACACAAGAGACTGTCTCGCACATTACATTCCAGCAGACCTTCTCAAGCCAAAATCATGACCAAATTGCCTTTTTCCTTACCTGTAGAAAAACAGATGTTCTCTTACTGGGGTCCCACAGGAATTCAATGATGTTCAAAGTGCTGGGATGTGCAACAGGGTCTATCACACCCACAGAAAGTGGGACATCTGCAACACATTAGGAATATAGTTCAATGGCAACCTAACTGAAAACTACAACTCTAAGTCAGGTTTTACATTGGAGAAAGAATTTGTGTCACCTTCAATCTACCCAAACATAAACCAATGTACGTTTAGATATAACCTTGTTCAGGGCTTTTTTTACCCTCAGAAAATAGGTGTAGGAACTCCCACCCCCTGACTCACTTCTTGTCTTCACCCTCTACCCATCTCCAAGTACTGTCCCTTGGTTTCATTCCTTACCCACCTACCAGTACCGTCCCTCTTACAGAATACAGACCCAAGTATCATTTTGTGGTGCTAAGTAATTGTTAAGGAATTAATAACAAAAAAATCCGTAAATTCCCCCATATACAGCAGCAACAGACACCCCCCCCCCCCCCACAACAATGGACTTCCCCCCCCACAAAATGCCACCCCATGGACAATAGACCGCCAGAAGTAACAACAGATCTTCCTGCAGCCAAAACCAATACACCCTCCCTCAATATTAGATCCCTTCCAGCAACAGTTGACACCACCAGCAACAATAGAACCCCCCTCAACAGTAGATCCCTTCCAAGTGAAGGGATGGACCCTGCTCAACCAACCCCAGGAGTCCAATATTGAGGAATGGCCTCCGCCACTGTTCTGGCCACATCGCTGATGCGTTTTGTTCCACCCATCAGGGCTCGGTCACAGAAGTAGATCTCTTCCAGCAACAGTGGACCCCTGAGGAACAATAAATCCCCTACCAGCAACAATATACCACCTTGCAAAAATAGATCCCCTCCAATGACAATAGATCCCCCAGCAGCCAGCATCAGTAGGCCCTGCAGCACTCCTCAACACCTCTTGCCATTACATGCATTCAATGCTGGAGGTGCCGAAACTGTGTTCCCCTGCGTTCCCATTAAAAAAAGTCCTGCTTTTCTTCTCTTGAATATAGATCTTACAATTTGATGTTTCATAGACCTCTAAGCTAGTGTGTTTCTTTCTAAGTGGACTTTCAAAAGGTCAATTTCATTTAAGGCTGGTTCACACCTGAATCACAAAGGAATGCGGTCCGCAATCAGCTGTGATTTTGTAGCCCATTGACTTGAATAGCAAATTGCAACGGATCGCCAAAAAAAGTAGTGCATGCACTACTTTATAAAGTAGTAGTATCTGGTGCACTGCATTTGCAATCTGCATTTGGGGTGCCGTAACATGTATTGGTACCCACAGCAAATTTCAAAAGGCAGTGAGTTTTCAACTTGGTGTGGGAAACGTGCACGGAATGCACTTTTCCTGCATCACGTTTTGGTGTGAAGCTGCCCTTAGTGGTGGTCCTCTAGTTTCTAATAAATTCTGGAGGTTTAAATCACATCAGCCGATGTCTTCAATATCCAATAAGGACTACAGCAATGGAAACACCCCACCAGACACACTATATTGCCAAAAGTACTGGGATGCCTTACTTTACACGCACATGAACTTTAATGGTGTCCCAGTCTTAGTCTGTAGGGTTCAATATTGAGTTGGCCCACCCTTTGCAGCTATAACAGCTTCAACTCTTTTGGGAAGGCTGTCCACAAGGTTTAGGAGTGTGTCTATGGAAATGTTTGACCATTCTTCCAGAAGCGCATTTGTGAGGTCAGGCACTGATGTCGGACGAGAAGGCCTGGTTTGCAGTCTCTGCTCTAATTTATCCCAAAGGTGTTCTATCGGGTTGAGGTCAGGACTCTGTGCAGGCCAGTCAAGTTCCTCCACCCCAAACTTGCTCATCTATGTCTTTATGGACCTTGCTTTGTGTACTGGTGCACAGTCATGTTGGAACAGGAAAGGGCCATCCCCAAACCGTTCCCACAAATTTGGGAGCATGAAATTTTCCAAAATGTCTTGGTATGCTGACGCCTTAAGAGTTCCCTTCACTGGAACTAAGGGGCCAGGCCCAATCCCTGGAAGACAGCCCCACACCATAATCCCCCCTCCACCAAACTTTACACTTGGCACAATGCAGTCAGGCAAGTACCGTTCTCCTGGCAACCATTAAACCCAGACACGTCCATCAGATTGCCAGCCAGAGAAGCGTGATTGATCACTCCAGAGAACACTTGTCCACTGCTCTAGAGTCCAGTGGCGGCGTGCTTTACACCACTGCATCCGATGCTTTGCATTGCACTTGGTGATGTAAGACTTGGATGCAGCTACTCGGCCATGGAAACCCATTCCATGAAGCTCTCTATGCACTGTTGTGCTAATCTGAAGGCCACATGAAGTTTGGAGGTCTTTAGCTATTGACTCTGCAGACAGTTGGTGACTTCTGTGCACTGTGCGTTCCAGCATGCGCTGACCCCGCTCTGTCATTTTACGTGGCCTACCACTTTGTGGCTGAGTTGCTGTTGTTCCCAGTTGCTTCCACTTTGTTATAATACCACTAACAGTTGACTGTGGAATATTTAGTAACAAGGAAATGTCAGGGATGGACTTATTGCACAGGTGACAACCTATCACGGTACCACGCTTGAATTCACTGAGCTCCTGAGAGCGACCCATTCTTTCACAAATGATTGTAGAAGCAGTCTGCATGCCTAGGTGCTTGATTTTATACGTCTGGCCATGGAGGGGATTGGAACACATGAATCCAATGATTTGGAGGGGGGACCCAGTACTTTTGGCGATATAGTGCATCTTTGATGACAGCCCTTCTCTCATTTAGAGCACATTCATTTCTGTATCAATTACATAGTGTCTATAATCTAAATCCCAACCTCCAGCAAAAACGTTTTTTTTTTTTCAGATAGAATAGTGAAGAGTTAGAACATCTGGCAAGTTTGAATTGCTGCCTGTGCTTCCACTGAGAATATTCCCCTCATTTGTTTCCACGTTACAAGAAACAGACCTTTCTACACTGAGATTTTTTTTTTTTGCTCTGTTCCCGTTTTTAAGTTCTTTGTTTTTTTTTTTAATTCCTTTGGATAACCACTTGCAGTTAAACAATAAACACACAAATCACTACATAGGTAGGGGGTCAGCGGGGGTGGTACTGCCCACTGAACGTGGCAGAAGAGATCATTTTGCACCTCTGCCCACTGAACTTGCAGCTTAAGTGGGAGCTGTCGGGGAACAGTAAAAACTTGTCTTAACCTCGTGTTTTTCCTTCCCCCCCCAACCACAAGTGTAAATCTAGCCTAAAATATATAGTCATAGGCTTAAGAAGTGTGTCCCATAATGCATTTGGTGCCCATTCGCAAAACTAAACAATTATAAAGTAGCAGCATGGTAATCATCTGGAATACGCAGTTCTGTTTTGAGCACAAATTCACAAAAAAAGGATATCGTGGAACTGGAGAAAGTGCAGAGAAGGGCAACCAAACTGATCAGAGTCAACTATGAGGAAAGATTAGAGGAACTGAATTTGTTTCTAAATAGATTTTTCTGCCCAAAAGCTCCTCTCCTGAAGGCTTGGTTCACATCTATGCTTTTTGCTTTTTATCTGTTTTATAATGCTTTTTGATTTGCATTTTTACAAGCATTTTTTTACTGCATTTTGTGTTTTTTTTAAGCTTTTTTTTTTTTAATAAAAGTGGACATTTTTTTGTTGCTGAGCAGAAAAACCGCAAAATGCGGCAAAAACACAGCAATAACGCACTACATGCGTTTCAGCAGATTCTCCTTTGAACTCTATTTTAGCAAAAAATCAGGTTTTTGCTTTTATAAAGTCCCTGACCCTTTCCAAAAATGCAGCAGCCCAAAAAGCATAGATGTGAACATGTCCTATAGGAAACCATGTTAAATGGACTGTAGTGAGTTTCTGCAAAATGCAGAAAGCACTAAAAAACGCATTGGTGTGAACCAGGGGAAACACATTGTTGATGGATTTGTTTTCTGCCTGTAAATGCTTATGTGTGCATGGACACATAGGCTAACATAGAGGTATGTTTACAGGCAAAAAAAAAAAGACCTGTAAAACTAAGCCCTGTGTGCATGAGCCCTATACAGGGGATATGATCACGTATGATCATGTATAAATGCATAGATGGTCCATATAGTGAACTTGGAGTTATTCACTTTCAAGCCATTACAGAGGATAAAGGGGCACTTTTTATGTCTGGAGGAAAAAAGATTTCATTTTCATATACAGAAAGGCTTCTTCACAGTAAGAGCTGTGAAAATGTGGAATAGACTCCCTCAAGAACTGGTTCTGGCCAGCTCAGTAGATTTATAAAATATTAATGCATTCCTAAATGCATACCTCCCACATTTTTGAGATGGGAACGAGGAACACCAATTAGCAAAAGTAAGTAGGCATAGGACACCCCCCGCCACACCCCCATAAAGAAGTTAAAAAACATTATTTAAACCCACAAGTGCTTTTTTTTTTACCACTCCTGTTCTTTTATACTGGCTTTTGGAATTTACATAGCAGCAATTTAGAATTTGGATGAAAGGTTTAGTACTGGGAAACACTTTTTGATAGATAAAGAATGCATTTTATATACAACTATATAGATCAGACTAAAATGAGAGACAATTGAAGAGGAAAGAGGGACTTTGTTGCAAATCAGGGACAGCCCGTTGAAATCAGGGATAGTTCGGAGCTGTAAATGCACAAAATACAACCAGATATTAACCACTTGCCCTCCAGAGGATTTACCCCCCCCCCTTCCTGACCAGGCCATTTTTTGTAATACGGCATTGCGTTATTTTAACTGACAATTGCGCAGTCATGCAACTCTGCAACCAAATTAAATTTATGCCCTTTTCCCCCCACAAATGGAGCTCTTTTGGTGGTATTTGATCACCTGTAATTTTTTAATTTGTTGTGCTATAAACAAAAAAAACCCAACAATTTTGAGAAAAATATACAATATTTTTGACTTTTTGCTATTAAACATGTCCAGTAAATAAATTCAAAACATAAAATTTTGTCCTAAATTTAGGCCAAAATGTATTCTGCTACATGTCTTTGCTAAAAAAAAAACAATACGTGTAAATTAATTGATTTACGTAAAAGTTATAGCGTTTACAAATGGCGTTATATATACTGGAAGTTTTTTTTGTTTTTTTTTATACTAATAATGGTGGCGATCAGTGACTTATAGCGGGACTGCGGTGGGCATTCTGACACTGGGGAACTGACCAACTGTCGCTGACATCCCCAGTGACACCAATACAGTGATCAGTGCTAATAAAAAGCACTGACACCGTACTAATGACACTGGGCAGGAAAGGATTAACATCTGGGGCGATCAAAGGGTTAACTGTGTGCTGTTTTACTGTGTGTGTGTTTCACTGTGTAAGAGCATTGCTTTGTATGGCTCTGCTATGCAGAGCCAAACAAAGCAATGTGCAGGAGTTGACGGGAGAGATCTGTATTGTTTACTTACAGGTCTCTCCCCTGTCAGTGATACTCGGTGATCGCCGGCGGGGAATTACCGGCTGGGACCCGGTGATTGACAAGCCGAGGCCACAAATGGCAGTGCAAGCAGGGAGCGCATGACCCCTACCTGGAAATGCAAAATCACACATTATATATATAAACACACACACACATACATGTGTGTGTATGTGTATATATATATATATATATATATATATATATATATATATATATATATATATATATTCACACACACACACATATAGATACACATGCACGTGACCCTGTAGCAGTATTTTTGCTATAGGGCGGCGGGAAAGTGGTTAACAGTTATAAATAATAACAGCAGAGTTTGTTAATCCAGGGATTATCTGATTACCTCCTGGGGGATCAAGAAGTAATTTGTTTCCCCCACTGGAGCATGTTTTGTTGTGTTTTTTTAGTGGGACACCGAAATTAAAATTCTGGTACCGAAACTGAAAATTCAGGATGCGTTTGGCCGAAAACCAAAACCGAAATGTTTGCGTATGTGGGGGGGTGGGGAGGCTCAATTTTTTTTTCCATTTTTACTTTTAATGTGTGTTTTTATTTAAAAAAAATTTTTAACTTATGATTTTATTGCTATCACATAGGGGACCAATAGTCCCCTATGTGATAGCATATGAGTGACAGGTTCTCTTTGTGTGCAAGGAGGGGCAGGAGAGGAGCAGTGTATACAGTGAGGGAGCAGTGTCAACAGACAGGCTCCCTCACTGGCTGCCACTAGATGTCATTGCTGGCTTTTTTTTTTCTTCACTTTGTAGCTGTCATTCGACCACTAAAGTAAACAAAGGGGAGGGGTTATTGGGTAATGTCACTGGATGACCCCGCCCCTTTGTTTACTTTATCGTCTGGGGTGCGAATGACAGCACCCCTCAATGAACTGTAGCTCCCCAGTGCCAGCTCATGCAGCCCCAGACCATGACACTCCCACCACCATGCCTGACTGTAGGCAAGACACACTTGTCTTTGTACTCCTCACCTGGTTGCCGCCGCACACTTTGCTTGTCACCATCTGAACCAAATAAGTTTATCTTGGTGTCATCAGACACAGGACATGGTTCCAGTCATCCATGTTCTTAGTCTGCTTGTCTTCAGCAAACTGTTTGTGGGCTTTCTTGCGCATCATCTTTAGAAGAGGCTTCCTTCTGGGACGACAGCCATGCAGACCAATTTGATGCAGTGTGCGGCGAATGGCCTGAGCACTGACAGACTGACCCCCCCACCCCTTCAACCTCTGCAGCAATGCTGGCAGCAATCATACGTCTATTTCCCAAAGACAACCTCTGGATATGACGCTGAGCATGTGCACTCAACTCCTTTGGTTGACCATGGCGAGGCCTGTTCTGAGTGGAACCTGTCCTGTTAAACTGCTGTATGGTCTTGGCCACCGTGCTGCAGCTCAGTTTCAGGGTCTTGGCAGTCTTCTTATAGCCTAGGCCATCTTTATGTAGAGCAACAATTCTTTTTTTCAGATCCTTGAGAGTTCTTTGCCATGAGGAGCCATATTGAAATTCCAGTGACCAGTATGAGAGAGTGAGAGCAATAACACCAAATTTAACACACCTTCTCTCCATTCACACCTGAGACCTTGTAACACTAACGAGTTACGTGACACCAGGGAGGGAAAATGGCTAATTGGGCCCAATTTGGACATTTTGACTTAGGGGTGTACTCATGTTTGCTGCCAGCGGTTTAGACAATAATGGCTGTGTGTTGAGTTATTTTGAGGGGACAGCAAATGTACAGTTATACAAACTGTACACTCACTACATTGTAGCAAAGGGGTTTATTTACTAAAGCTGGAGAGTGCAAAATCAGACTCACTTCTGCATAGAAACCAATCAGCTTCCAGGTTTCATTGCCAAAGCTTCATTGAACAAGCTGAGGTTAGAAGCTGATTGGGGTTTATTTACTAAAGCTGGAGAGTCCAAAATCAGACTCCCTTCTGCATAGAAACCAAAGTGTCATTTCTTCAGTGTTGTCACATGAAAAGATATAATAAAATATTTACAAAAATGTGAGGGATGTACTCACTTCCGTGAGATACTGTATATGTGACTCAGTAAGGATCATAGTTAGACCTATACACAAATTATTTAGCACCACAAAATGATACTTGGTTCTGTATTCTCTAAAGGGGGGGAACTGGGAGGTGGGTAGGGGGTGGAACCAAGGGACGGTGCTCAGAGGAGGGTGGTGGGTTGAGACAATGGGGTGAAGACTCAGAAAGAGGAAGTTCTTGCACCTATTTTCTGAGAAAAGAAGCCCTGTTGGAGAGTAATATGAAGAACCACAGACAATAGAAAAGTGGAGTCTCAATATCTGGAGCATTTTCTAGTGACTTTCTTAAATAAAGAGGTCACAATCTTATCCAGTGAGTGAGTGCACTTTTTATGTGAATTCTATTCGTGGAGATGCACTGAAGATTGTTTTGAAGGATTTATTGTTTAAGGACTGCACATAGTGTGGACTTATTTGAGCACCTTAAACATACTGTATATTCCTCACGGTTTCTTTATATTTTATTGCACATATTGATGCTTTTTAGTGCTGCTCCACTATTTTATGTTCTTACTATACCACACTTAGGAGCAACAGCTGGGTTAGAGTAGAGACAAATCAGTGCAAAGTGTTCTACAATTATAGTTCCGGATAAACAACATGACGCATATTTTAACAGGTGATCTATAGAATATGGATTTCATCTGTAGGCAAGTGCAGTCTACATTCCCCATTGCACGTGATGCTGAACCAGAACGACAATGCAGCTGGGAGAAGTCAAAAGAAATTTCTCTATGATTTCCTTGGTCCCTTGGAGTTGGCTACGCTGGATCCAGATGACCCTGTGGCCATCTTGGGTCATGCAAAATCTCTTTAAGTCGCTGCCTCTGGGTTTTGGTGCACATTTTGCAGGTGGAGAGTGCAGGGACAGGATACCCATCTGTCAGGGCCAACACCAGTGGTAAGGAGAGGTTCCAGAGGAGTAGGGGAAGGATAGGGTCTATGTCTGCAACTTAAGAAAGCTCCCCTTTGGGTTGGACCAGCCAAGCCACATTCTACTCTTCACAGATGCTGTCTTTTGTTCAGGCCTAAGCACTGCTGACTCTTCATTGCCAACTGAGTGAACAGTATGTCATGGAACTTAATGTGATGTAGGAGTCCCCTCCTTTTCTTTTTCCTGACAATAATCTGACACCACAATCCAAATCACACCCCTTCACCGTCCTGCTCTTCTGCCATCACTTAACTTCTTTATTACCCTACAGTCTAGTCCAAAGAGACTGTCCCCAGTCATGATGCCTGCTCTGTTTATAACACAGGGCATTGCTTTCTTCTCTTAACTTTCATTAGTGTCCTGGTCAGGTGAGCCTCCCCACTGGGCTTGTTGTACTGTTTTACAGGTTCTGCAATATATCGGTTTCTGCACTCCGGGACTCTGTGTGCTTTCTGCCGCAGAACCATGTTGCACCTATCCATCACATCTGTAGGTTCAGCTGTTTGGCTGGAGATCTACTCTATGTTCAGTCACTGGCTAACACGTTTATTACAGACATCTCATCAACCAATACACATTTTCTGCCTAGCACAATGGTAATTCCTCTTATAAACAAACAGTACATTAGTGAAAATTTTTGTTAACCTACCGATATCAAGAATTCTGTCCCCAGGGTGGCTCATCTGCCAGCTCTCCAGCTGTTGTCTCTCACTGTACTGTAGACGTCGGTCATGGAACACCACTCTGACTACACTCTGTGAAGGAGGAAAGTCATAATCTGCTAAAGAGTACCTGTCATAACAATGCCATTTTGAAGCAGCTTAAAGTGAACCTGGGAGGAATAAATAGTAGGAACTACCAATGATGACTTGATTGGGGAGTGCCCAGCTTCAAGGCCTTCATCCTGATCATGGTTTCACTGCCAAGTGTCAGTAGCTCATAAGTAACTACATAATGAAATCAGGATAAGAATGACAGAGCAAGTGTCTTTAAATCCAAAGTACTCATAACAGAAATGCATCAATATGACAGTCAGGCAACTAAAATTTTAGATGTAAAAGCAATAGCAGCCTCCATGTTGCCCTTGTGACTGGATTCCTTTAAAAATGAGTTTGCAATGGCAGTTCATATTGCTATCCTCAGTAGTGCACTTTAATGCTCAACATATAATATTGCATAAAAAAAATTATCTTTTTTTTTTTTTTTTTACTTCCCACAGGCAGAAAAATGTTTATTTTAAAAAGTATCTAAACCCATGAACAAAAATGCAATATATAGCTGCGTAGCAATTCTTAGATATGGTGGCTTCTTTAGATGTTTGAGGCTTTTTTCCTTTACTTTCAATTGGTGATCCTGCCAGTAACACACTTCTGCTGCATTCACACTTCAGCATTTTGTAGCTTGAAGCTCAAAGCTCCAAGAAAAGCTCAAACTTAAAAAATCAATTGTTCTCTATGGTGCCTTTTCACACCTGATCATGTGAACAGGCACCATAGAGAACAATTGATTTTCTAAGTTTGAATGTTTTTGGAGCTTCAAGCTACACAATTCTCAAGTGTGAATGTAGCCTTCTTGTCCTAGGGTGACAACACTCAATCACTGTATTGTATCTATGAAGATACAGAGTTGTCACTCTAGGCTTCTCTCCAAATGTGGCCTACAAAAACCTCCCCTCTCCTTGTCTATAGAAAGGACAATGACATTACCAGCATCCCATCTTTTGTTGAGCTGGTCTGTAATTGATTGCAGCATGTTTGGATAGAGATAAGTTTGCAGGAAGGCCAAGCTCATTGCCATTCAGGATCAGTGTTTTTTTTTCTACATTTTCTGTATCATCTACAGTGCCTTGAAAAAGTATTTATACCCCTTGAGATTTCCCAAATTTTGTCATGTTACAACCAAAAACAAATGTATTTTATTGGGATTTTATGTGATAGACCACAAAGTGGCACATAACTGTGAAGTGGAAGGGAAATGATTTTCAAAGTATTTTACAAATAAATATTTGAAGAGTGAGGAGTGCATTTATATTCAGCCCCCTTTACTTTGATACAAAGAAACAAACACAGGGCGCATGGGCCTAGTGCATTAACTTTTTAAAAGATAATTTATTAGATAAATAAGTGGTAATATACTCACAAAAGAACAAATGTCAAGGGCACATCATATATAGTACAGCAAGGTCCAGTCACACTGGATGATATCCGTAATGGGACTCCTAGACCTCCAAATGTTTGATGCGTTTCAAGGGCTTGCCTCTTCATCAGAGCCAATTTGTATGCTTATGCCATCCCTTTACTCTGATACCCCTAACTAAAATCTAGTAGAACCAATTGCCTTCAGAAGTAGCCTAATTAGTAAATAGTCCACCTGTGTGTAAATTAATCTCAGTATACAGTAAATACACATGTTCTGTGAGGTCCTCAGAGGTTTGTTAGAGAACATTAGTGAACAAACAACATCATGAAGGCCAAGGAACACACCAGACAGCTCAGGGATAAAGTTGTGGAGAGGTTTAAAGCAGGGTTAGGTTATACAAAAATAACCCAAGCTTTGAACATCTCACGGAGCACTGTTCAATCCACAAGCCAAAAATGAAAAGAGTATGGCACAACTGCCAACCTACCAAGATATGGCTGTCCACCTAAACTGACAGGTCGAGCAAGGAGAGCATTAATCAGAGAAGCAACCAAGAGGCCCATGGTAACCGTGGAGGAGCTGCAGAGATCCACAGCGCAGGTGGGAGAATCTGTCCACAGGACAACTATTAGTCATGCACTCCACAATTCTGGCCTTTATGGAAGAGTGGCAAGAAGAAAGCCATTGCTGAAAGAAAGCCATAAGAAGTCCTGTTTTCAGTTTGTGAGAAGCCATGTGGGGGACACAGCAAACATGTGGAAGAAGGTGCTCTGGTCAGATGAGACCAAAATTGAATTTTGTGGCCTAAAAGTAAAATGCTATGTGTGGCAGAAAATGAACACAGCACATCACCCTGGAAACTCCATCCCCACCGTGAAACTTGGTGGGGGCAGCATTATGGTGTGGGGATGATTTTCATCAGCAGGGATAGGGAAGCTGGTCAGAGTTGATGGGAAGATGGAAGGAGCCAAATACAGGGCAATCTTAGAAGAAAACCTGTTAGGTTCACCTTCCAGCAGGACAACGACCCTGAACATACAGCCAGAGCTACAATGGAATGGTTTAGATCAAAGCATATTCATGTGTTAGAATGACCCAGTCAAAGTCCAGATCTAATCCAATTGAGAATTTGTGGTAAGACTTCAAAATTGCTGTTCACAGATGCTCTCCATCCAATCTGACAGAGCTTGAGCTATTTTGCAAAAAAGAATGGGCAAAATGTCCCTCTCTAGATGTGCAAAGCTGGTAGACACAAATGACTTGCAGCTGTACTTGCAAGTATTGACTCCGGGGGGTTTGAACACAAATGTACGCCACACTTTTCACATATTTGTAAAAAATGTTGAAAACCATTTATCATTTTTTCCTTCCACTTCACAATTATGTGCCTTTTTGTGTTGGTCTATCACGTAAAATCCCAATAAAATATATAAGTCTTTGATTGTAACATGACAAAATGTGGAACATTTCAAGGAGTAGGAATACTTTCAAGTCACTGTATATACTGGTAAGGTAAAATATGTTACATTTTTGGCTTAGGGTTTAGATACTCTTTAGTTAATGCTTTTGAGCTGCCAGACTATTTATTATAAGAAATATCTGAACCGGGTGCCTATGGAGATATGAACTTGAAAATACAGCCTGCTTTAGATAAACTTACCTTTAGCAGGCGACGACCTTCAGGCAGATCAATGGCTCCCTTCCAGTTACTTAACATCCGAATTTCATAGGACTGACCTGCACCAGAAGGTGATACATATAAAATGACAGTTATGCTAAAATTTGTCTTATTGGGGCTGCATGTCCACAGAGAATTTTCCCCTAAACAGGCCTAGAGTCCTGTAAGGATGGAGATTTGATTGGAGGTTGTAGCATGGAGAAGACCAAGACTATGGAACTGAGTGGGCCACAAAGTGAAGATCTTCAGATATAACGGTTTAGGTGTGTATATTCTATGACCATTATGTTAGGGATAGGGATTTTGCCCAAAGCTCCAAGCTGTGGGTAGTTCATCAGTGTCATCACGTACAAGGCAGCGCGCTATTAATGCTACATTGTATGTGGAAGTGGTAAGCATGTGACCTCGGCTGAGCACCTTAGAGAAGTGATAGGGCTGGACTGGTCGCATAAATGGAGGCAGCCAGAGGCAGGAATAAAGTAAGTACACCTATCCCTGTGCCCCAAAAATAAACAAGCATTTAATCCTTGTAGTGCACAGGCTGTGTAGCATTCAGAGCCTTTGTAATGACACTCCAGAGTACCAATGCCACCGTGTACAGCCACCCTTTGAGATGCATTAGAAGCAGTGGCTGTACGTAGTTTTGTGCCAAGAGCTGCACAAAGCAGCCGTATACACACTAGCACTCTGAATGAATATATTGTGCATTTGGAGCATATGTCAATACACATGCGGATGCTTTACATAACCCTCAGCACCGCATACTTCTTCTAATGTGTCTCAATAGGTGGCTAAACATGGCAGCAGCGGTTCCCAGGAAAGCAATTACATAGGCTCTGCATGCTGTACAGTCCCTGTATAACTGTATGCATGACACCATATAGACCAAAGATCAAATAGTTGTATACTGGCTAATTGTAGAAAGGATTGGTTACCTTGGTTGAGGTAGGTGAGTGACTCCTCGTGTAACTTCACAGCAGGAGAGCTTGGTGCACAGAGCACACACTGGAAGACTGGGCACAGTGCAGAGGTTATTGGTTGGTCCTCCTGCTTTAGGAAGGGCAGTGGAATGGACTCTCTGTAAGTAATATAGTGTACATCAACACTGAGTATAGGTGATTGTTACAAATGATGAAGATTAGAGATACAATGTACAAAAAGAGGATAATAAAACAAACTGTTGCTCAGCCTGTGGCCCTCTTTGCAGGCTTTGATTCCCATTTCCATATTGCCTTTTTATAGATGTGATTTATAACAGCCTTATCTAATACAGTACGTCTCCAGTATAGAACTGTCTCGAAACATGTCTTACATAGTTACATAGTTAGTCTGGCTGAAAAAATACAAAAGTCCATCCAGTTCAACCATTAAAAAAAAAAAGTTATAATCCTATACCCACAATTGATCCAGAGGAAGGAAAAAATCCCAGCAAAGCATGATCCAATTTGCTCCTGCAGGGGAAAAAAAAATTCCTGATCCCCTGAGAGGCAATCGGATATTCCCTGGATCAACTTTACCTATAAATGTTAGTATCCAGTTATAGTCTGTGCATCCAAGAAAGAATCCAGGCCTTTTTTTAAAGCAATCCACGGAGCTGGCCAGAACCAACTCTTGAGGGAGTCTATTCCACATTTTCACAGCTCTCACTGTGAAGAAACCTTTCCGTGTTTGGAGATTAATTTTCTTTTCCTCCAGACGTAAAGAGTGCCCCCTTGTCCTCTGATTACCTTAGGGTGAATAGCCCTACATCAAGTTCACTATATGAACCACTGATGTATTTATACATGTTAATCATATCTCCCCTTAATCTCCTCTTCTCAAGAGAGAATAAATTATTCAGTTCCTCTAATCTTTCCCCATAGCTGAGCTCCTCCATGCCTCGTATCAGTTTGGTTACCCTTCTCTGTACTTTCTCCAGTTCCTCAATATTTTTTTTGTTAATTGGTGCCCAAAACTGAAATGCATATTCCAGATGAGGTCTTACTAATGATTTGTACCGGGGTAATATGATCTCTCTCTCTCTGGAGTCTATACCTCTTAATACAAGAGAGGATTTTACTCGCTTTAGAAACCGCAGCTTGGCATTGCATGCCATTATTAAGCTTGTGATCTACCAGAACCCCCAGATCCTTCTCCACCATTGATTCCCCCAGTTGTACCCCCCTAGTATGTATAAAGCATGCATATTCTTAGCCCCCAAGTGCAGAACCTTACATTTATGAACATTAAACCTCATTTGCCACATAGTTGCCCAATTACACAGAGCATTGAGGTCGGCTTTGAAATTGAAGACATCCTGTAAGGACGTTATTCCACTGCACAGCTTGGTGTCATCTGCAAAGACTGAAATGGTATTTGTAATCCCAGACCCTATATCGTTTATAAATATATTAAAAAGTAAGGGTCCCAACACTGAACCTTGGGGTACACCACTGATGACCCTAGACCATTCAGAGTATGAATCATTAACCACTACTCTTTGAATACGATCTTTCAGCCAGTTTTCTATCCATTTACATATGGATTTTTCCAAGCCTGTAGACTTTATCTTACACATTAGCCATGTGTGGGGAACTGTGTCAAACGCTTTTGTAAAATCCAAGTATACCACGTCCACGTCCAAGGTTTTGCTCACCTCCTCATAAAAGGAAATCAGATTTATTTGGCAACTTCTGTCTTTCATGAATCCCATGCTGTATGTTGCTCAAAATATTTTTTTCCAGCAAGAACTCATCTATGTGGTCTTTTATTAAACTCTCCAGTATCTTCCCGGCTATAGAAGTTAAACTAACAGGTCTATAATTACTTGCTAAAGATTTTTACCCCTTTTTAAATATTGGCACCACATTGGCCTTACGCCAATCCAGTGGTACTATGCCAGTCATTAAAGAGTCCCTAAAAATTAGAAACAATGGCTTTGAAATGACAGAGCTCAATTCTTTAAGGACCCGTGGGTGTATGCCATCCGGTCAATGTGCTTTATTCAACTTTATTCTTCAATCTCCGACAACTCACATAGCATATTCACAGACCTTGACAGTGTCCTGCAGCATGTCTGCAACCTCTGGATAAAGAGAAAACAGGTGGCGCACACACCTAGTGCATTATCCAAGGTTTATTGTAAAGAGTAAAAAATAATAAAAACACTTACAAACGAAGCATGTATCTAAAAAGCATAGAAAAATGACGATGGCCACAACGGCAGGCAAGGTGTCCTCACTGTCAGTGCGGTCAAATGGCTGACACGTTTCGGGGACGAATCTCTTTCCTCAGAGCTAATGACCAACCTCTGATGCAGATGTGTAATGGATGAAAAGTGGGAGCCTTGCTGGTGATATCTAGCGATATACTAATCTTCAGTATCTACTGAATATATTGAATTAAATCCTGCCAATATCCTTGTATTTTTGGGCAGAACTACCAAATGTGTGCCATTGTCCCCTTATAACTGCACCATTGCCAATACATAGGTGATATCTCTGGTCTTTGTTGATGTGCTATAATAGGTGTAATATACCATCTTACCAAACATTTATAATTAATTTCAACTGTGTTCATATTCACCACCACGTGGTAATCTAAACATTTTATTTTTTTGTTTCTCATTCCATTTTGTTCTAAGCTCCTTTTCCCACTGATCTATTGACCCTTGAGAATCTGCACCAGTTATATCCACAAGGGTCCTACAGATTCTTGAAAGTAGCATGTTTTTGTATTATTTGAACTACGCATATATACTAAAGGATACATTTCCTCCTCTGTCCTTAATGGTTGCGTGAGCTCTGCAAAAAAAGGTTTCAGTTGATAGTATCGCCACTCATCTAAAACTGAAAATATGTATTTCTTATTTTTTAAATTGCGAAAAGAACATAGTTCCCCATTATTTACAATATCTTTCAAACGTGTATTTCTATCTTTTATCCATTTTCCCGAGATACATTTATTCCCTGGTGGGAAAAATTTTGTTCCTGCCAATGGAATCATAAGTGAATTATATTTCTATTTCATTTACTTATGTAGTACATCCCATACCCTCAATACATTTAGTGTCAAAGTACTAGTGCCTTCATCCAATGTGTGAAACTCATGTGGTATCCATATAATTCTATCCTATTGTGCTTTACTTAATATATTCTCCATTTTTACCCAACTTCTGCCCTGTGTATTGTGTATCCAATCCTATATTCGTGATAATAACACTGAAACATAGTATCTCCTAATATCTGGCATATTTAATCCCCCTCTTAGTTTATTATTACACAAAATTTCATATTTAATGCTCATTTGTTTTGTTGGCTCATATATATCTGAGTACCATTTTCTTAAAAATCACAAAGAAAGACCTTGGTAGTTGTATTGGGAGCATATTAAATTTATACAGGACTTTTGGTGCTATGATCATCTTTATCATATTTATATGGCCTATCCATGACACCCTACCTCCTGAAATTCTCCTCAGTTCATCCTTTATTTCATTTGTTCGTAGAATATAAATTGCCTGGAATAGATTCTTTAGGTTAATTTTATTCCCAAATATTTTCGTTCTTTTTTTCTCAATGTAAAAGGGAATTCTTTTTGAAGAATTAGTTTCTCCTTTCTTGAGAAACATTAATATTTAATATTTCTGATTTGAATGGATTGATTTTCAAATTGGATAACTCTCCATATTCTTTTAATATTTTCATTAAATTAGGTCATGTTAGTCTGGGGTTTGTTATATAGAACAACATATAATCTGCATAGGCTTTCCACATCTCCTACCCACATTCCTCTCACAACTACACTCTTTCTCACTGTAGGCAACAATGGCTCCAATGATATTACGAACAGAAGGGGAGGAAGTGGGCATCCCCGTCTTGTTCCATTATACATTCTAACAGTCTTTGACAGAGAGCCATTAACCTTCACAGCAGCTGACGGACCTCTCTATATAGTTCTTTAATCCAGTGTAACATTCTGGGCCCAATTCCCAGGGTCTCAAGTGTCTCTATCATAAATCCCCAGTCAACTCTATCGAAGGCCTTTTCAGCATCAATCGATAGAATAACCCCAGGGACCTTACTTTCTTTACTTTTTTGCAGGGGGAACAGTGATCTTAATCTGTTATCCCTTCCTTCTCTACCCGGGATAAATCCTACTTGATATAAGTGTATCCATTCTGGAATCAGTTCTTTCAGCCTAGTTGCTTATACCTTTGCATATAATTTTCTATCAACATTTAACAAAGATATAAGTCTGTAACTGGCACACTGATATCCGTCTTTCCCCTCCTTTAGTATAATTGTGATATATGCATTTAATGATTCCTCCCTCATTTTTGTTTCATTTCCCAATGCATTCATATATGTACATATTTTGGGGACTACTTGTTCTCTAAATTTCCTGTAGTATCTCATTTAAAAACCACCTGGCCCTGGGCTCTTACCAACTGCCGTGCTCTTTCTTGCTACACTTTATTTTGTCTTGCGAAATTGGACTTTCTAAAGCTGTTAATCTAGCTTTATCCAGTTTGGGTAAGCCAGCATCATTGAAATATTTCTTCCTTTTCTCATTTCTTTCTTAATCTGCTTCTTTTTGATTCTTTTATTTTGCTCCATATAAGCCACTGTAATATTTCTGAAGTACCTCAGCGATATCGGTGGTTGAGCAAACCATCTCTCCTTTTTCATCTTTAATTTTTTCAATAAAATTCTTCATTTTCTTCTCCCTCAACTTCCTCATTAAATATTTCCCTGGTTTGTTCCCCCACCAATATCTATCTTTTATAAATCTTCCTACTTTCTTGTTCCATAAGGTCTTTTAACTCATCTCTCTTCTTAGTTATCTCATGCTGTACATCTATACCTATTTTCTTTTTATGCAATTGTTCCATCTCATACAATTCTTCCGTTATTGTCCTAATTTTCTTGCCCCTCTCTTTTTTTTTTCCGCCCCAATCAATATTAATATTCCCCTAATATAAGCCTTATGTGCTTCCCAAACTGTCGCCACAGACACTTCTTCATTCTCATTTAACCTAAAGTATTGTTCAACTTCCTCTTTTAATCTTTTTTCAATTTCCTGATCTTGTAATAGCATCT